GAAGTACCTTCTGCTGAAATGAACCAAGCTGCTATGGCGTTCAAATCTGGGAGTAGCTTGGAGGATGCGCCGCACGCAGCAGACATTCAATTCTTAAGATGTTCCTGCAATCTTTGTGATTTCATCCAAAGGCGTCGCTGGTTGGAGACCTCTTTAGGTTGATGAACTCGACAGCCAATAGCCAAAGCTAACTAGGTTGAACTCATTTGAACTTCATTGTATCAACTCCTGTAATCCAATATCAGATGCAACCCCTTGAAGGACTTGAGCGCCTTGCAGCAGAGTCTCCAAAAACCGGTTGCATCTGGCCGCATCGTCAATTATCTAACAACATATCACATTTAAAAAGCTGATATTTTTGCACCGCTCAGGACGCAGAAATGCATAGCTGCGAGGACAGGCTGCGCAGTTGATGGGATTAACTCCACTGCCAGCAGCTGATCGCCTCACGCTGTGCCAGCTTGAGGGCATCAGAGAGCAAACTGTGCGAGGCCAAAGCGGACAAAAGGCTTCAAAGCATAGTGTTTCTGCTTGTTTTGAGAAGCAAAACGTCCTCAGATGTAAGCTTAAGCTTGACAGATTGGAAATCTTTGTTCACACTTGCACTTAGCTTGCGGTTGCAAGTTTTACGTTCACAAAAGTCATCAAGATGTCTCACCGGGATATTTTGGCTCCAGCGAGGCGAGGGTATCTGCCTGCCACACCCACTGTCAGTTTCTTTTTGATTTTGATTCTGTACTGCGGGGTCAGAGGACTCAAGCGTCAAACCAAGCTCCAAAGAGAAAAGGTTCTGCAGATCCTTTGAGGAGCTTGGAAGGTTTTTTTGCTTTTCGGTACATCTGCCGTCTGCCTAAACAAATACTCCGAGTGATCCCCACCATGACATTTCGACCTGACAAATTTTCGGGCATGTGTTGAATCATTATTTCGGCATTCTTTCTGGCGCATCTTCTGACATTCTTTTTGACATTCTTTCTCGCATCTCTCTTGTCGTTCATTGTGGCATTCTTTCTGGCATATATTCTGACTCGTGGTTGATGTCTGGCAGGGAACACTGCCAGCCGGAGCTCGCGGTAGAGGTCCGGCGGGGAACACTGCCAGCCGAACCTCATGGTTGAGGTCCGGCGGGGAAGACTCGCGGTTGAGGTCCGGCGGGAACACTGCCAGCCGAAGCTCGCGGTTGAGGCCCGGCGAAGAACACTACCATCTGGAGCTGGCGGTTGACGTTCTGCGGGGGAACACTGCCATTGCCGTCTGGAGCTGGCGGTTGAGGTCCGGCGGGGAACACTGCCATCCGGAGCTCGCGGTTGAGGTCGGGCGGGGAACACTGCCATCCGACACTTGCGGTTGAGGAGGCAGCGGAGAAGGAGGTAAGGAGGGCGATGAGGTGGAGGAAGAGGAGGCGGAGTAGGAGCAAGGCAGCTGACAAAAAATCTAGCAACCCTCACCTGACAGGCGAGGAACAGTTCTTCATAACCAAACGCAGTTAAGCGTATGTTTGGGTAAGCTTTTCTTTTGAATGAGATGTTGTCAGGATTGCAAAAGAGGAGCCTTTCAAGGATGTGCCTCCTGGACGCTTTGCAGCCCCTACGTTTCCCAATCAATCACTTCAGCGATGGTCCTTTTTTGGCGTTGAAAGATGGGAGTCGACTCCTGGAGCCTTTCGGGCGCTTCGTGTGCATAGCAACACGACAGCAAATTGTGAGTTCAGGAAGCAGTTGTCACCGGCGAAATGTTCTACATCGATGGGGCCGGGGAAATATCTTTTGCACCTTGAGGTGACTCAAGTGTTGGGATGGGACAACTGAGTTGTTGAAACCTGGGTTTATTTTTGATTGTATAGTGAACTTCGGTTTTACATGCCACTGTGATATTGCAGAACTTTCGAAGGAGGAGTTGCATTTGGGATCAAACAGATGACCAGGGTAAAATGTGACTTTGACTTTTTACCAAATGTTTTCAGTGCCAATTCTCTAAAAAATCAATTGGAAATTGGAAACATTTTTGACTATACAGCGCAGCTGGCCAGTGTAGAAAAATGACTGTCGTGCAACAATGTTTCTATTTATAGAGCCACACATCAACAAATGCAATTTTTTGAACAACCGTGCATGTTGGGAGGTGGGAGCTGTGTAAAGTAATCATCGATTGAGTAAATATGTTTGAAAACATGTTGTCCATATTTTGAAAGGGTGTAAGATCATACGTGTTTTGAACATTTTGTACTCATTGCACTCTAAGGAAATTGTGTCCTAACATTTTTTATTTAATTGGACGTTGTTGAGTGGATTGTAAAGGCATTCGCCCTAAATTTAAAAGGGCACTCATGCTACATTATCATATGAAATATGTTTTTGCAGTTGATGCACATCCTGTTTTTGCAGAACGGAATGGAAACGAAATCTTGAGTTTCACACGGCCTTTAGCAAATTTGTTTGAATGCAAAAACACTACTTCAATTTGCACACCACATTTTTCAGTGACTTTGGTGTCCCTGTGAGTTGAAGGTACCATTTTTGTAATGCATAGACCGGATTAATAAACCCCCCCCCTGGCATGGTAGGTCAACAAGGTCAACGAGTCAACAAGGTCTGAGATACCACTCATGAGGTCCACCCCCCTGAATTATCGGCTCAGGGAGCCATCGTAATCGGAGTCGTCGTCGGTAGTAGGTAGTAGGTAATGGGTAGTAGTAGTAGTAGTAGTAGTAGTAGTAGTAGTAGTCACAACAAGTTTAAACAAGCACAAAGAAAAACCCAGGGACACAGGATCAAATTAATACGGGGTAGTAGTGCAGATTATTGATGGGGGACCGGCCCTTGTGAGGGGTACCCTTTGTGAGCTTGTCAAATGATTGTTTTAAATTGTCTTTTAATAAGGCAATTTATAGGCCCTGAGCCCTAGACTTTTTAAAAGATTTCATCAAACATGTAGTAGGTAGTAGGTGGTGATGGTGGTGGTGGTGGTGGTCGTGGTAGTAGCACGTAGCAGTAGCAGTAGCAGTAGCAGGCGCAGCAGCAGCAGCAGTAGTAGCAGTAGCAGTAGCAGTAGCAGTAGCAGTAGCAGTAGCAGTAGCAGTAGGAGTAGTAGTAGTAGTAGTAGTAGTAGTAGTAGTAATACGAAAAATTGACCTGGTTGTGGGCTCGGATTAACTGGGGGGGGATTGTTGGTAGAAAACTAGACCATAGGGGGGAAATCAACCGCCAATAATACTTTTAATTTGGGCAATTTTCGGCGGCTTTGTGGGCTCGGGTTAACTAGGGGGGATTGATTAATCCTGTCTTTTCATTATATACATATTAAAAATCACTGTATTTGTTTCACTGATTTGTAACGTAGGTATAGGCATGCCTAACTTCGGAGGCAAGTTCTACCGCCGAAACCCATCCTTGCAGTTTAAGTGCTATAAAATGTGGGAGACAAAAACTATGCCAATCTTCACGAGGATCCACATTGTATAATTTGTTCGTTGTATGAATTCAAAACATGGCCGAAACTTTTGAACCCACGAGTTCGCTGCGGAACATCTCGCCCACACTTGCTGCCGTTTCGTCCATTTCGTCGCGCCAGGAGGTCTTGTCAGATCCGACCTTTGCCCTCGAGGCCTTGAAACAGGATGGGCTCGGGACGCCCAGAGAACGGCGGAGGCCTTGAAGCAGGATGGCAAAATCCCCAAGAGGTGAATTATATGCACCCCATATAGAAGAAACATCCTTGGGTTTGTGCCATCTACTTAAAAGAAAAAACATCTTTGGGAGCAAGTGGAAGTGATATCAGAGCGAAGGCAGGGTGAAAGAAAAGTTCACGGTGAACATAAAAATAGTCCAAGGGTGTGTACTGCGTGTTTGTTATTGCACGAATCAACGTATTGAAAGGTGTTCGGGGTTTGTAACAGTGCAACACAGCTGTCAGTTCATGTTCATACCATCCACCCAGAGGGAAAAATGCCACGGCTGGGTCTTTGTTTCAAGACAAAATACTGGTCAACAGGTCTTGCAGATGACTCCATCAACCAGAAGTTGTTCGCCGCTTTGGAAGTGGGTGACCTGGAAAAAAAACCACATGATTGGTAGGAGCGCGGGAATACGCGGAAGCAAGACACGTGTTTTGTTTTTTGCATTGCACATGGCCAAGTTTTTTTTGCCCCATACCGTATGGGTAACTCCAACACTCTGAATCAATCAGTCAGTCAGTCAGTCAGTAGCTTACAGCCAGCCTCGTTGAACTTGCAAAGATGTGGGTTGCCCCAATGGGATTGGGGCAACCAAACTACCATGAAATGCCTCTTGAGTTCTTTTCAGTGCCATTCATCCACCTTGCCAACCTTGCCCCGGGCAACGCTCAATGCCTCGCGCTGCAGATCGCACCGCTGTTTTTTTGGGGCTCGAGGAAGAGAGACAGGGTCCTGCGGCACACGACCCAGGCACTTTGGTCTGTGCGTGGACGCAGTCGGGCACGCGTCTTTTCCCAGACGGGCGGTGTAAAAGTTATAGCCCCCAGCAGATCACGACCAACTGCTGAGGGGCCCCCGCCATGATGAAGAAAGGTCCCAATTGCAATGAGATCCCCCAATTGCAATGTAAAGTCATGTATAAAGCCTTTGCATATGCGTTGTATAAATCAAGAGTCCACATTAGACCTAACTTTCATGGGATCTCTTGCACCTTGCGTCACACCAAAAACGTTGACGGCACACTATGTCGCCGGCAGGACTGGGCACGGTTCTAAGTCTGTGTTTGGGTCGTGCCGGCGACATAGAAGCATCAACGTCACCTGATCAGTCTAATGTAGAGACTTGATTAATAAGCCCTCTCATTTGAATTGGACATGCTCTTCATATGGGGGGTTTACTGTCCTCAAGAGTCTACATGATATTTCAGTCGCGTTCGTGTCGTTTTTGTTGGGACCCCGTCGACCGAAGTTCGTCCATCCCCCGCGGACCCACGGCTCCGCCGCCGACGCGGCGACGTGACGGGAGCCAACGGTGACCGCAGGAACACATGGAGTACTATCCTCAGGGCGCACAAGGCACGGAAGAAGCGGGTGTTTGGCACCGAGACATGTTGTTTGTATGGTTGTTGTATTGTTGTTCTTTTTTGGAATAGTCCGTGAAGTGGAAGGCGACCGGTGGTGTGTAAGATGCCTTTTTGTGTTTTCTTTGTGTGCATGTGTTGAGATGCAGTGTCATGGCTGTAGATTGGGTTCAGTTTGTAGCATATAGAACACGTTTGTCGTGCCTTTTTTTTGTAGGCCGTTGTGAAGGCTGTTTGAATGAAGAACAGGCCATGGACACACATGATACATGGCATCATCAAAAAAAGGAACCTCAACCTTCATGGATCTTCATGGTGGCAAGCTACAGTGTGGTCAATGTCGATCAGTGTTCGAACTGGACACTGAACATGCTTTTATATGTTTTTTCATTTCTGCAATATTTTGTGAGTCGGTATGAGCACACTCCCCTTCAGAAGTCAAGAACTCCAGATTCTGAAAACGTGCACACCCCTCTGATGGAAAAGTACGGGCCGGAGATGTTGGCATTTTGCGGCTTGTTTGCCATACTTGGGGATGGCAATCCCAAACACTCCATGACCGTATGCAATATTTAGGATATTTAGGTACATTGACCTCTTTTTCCAACCACCACAATGTAGCATGCTTTACTTTCCGACTCACACCGCAGTAACCGGCAGTCACTCCCTGTAGACTTTTGATCAATCAACCCCCTCATGTGGATTAGAACCTCTTCATTTGGAGGGTTTTATTCATCAACAGTGTATATCAGGTACCTAGAACCCAGTTTGGGCCACTGTTTGATAGGAAAAGACCATCTTCTGGGTGCTTGGTGGTCCCAAATAGAGGTCATTCAGCTTCTAGCTCGGGAGTCAAAGTCCACCACCTTCCACCACCAGGCTGGGGTAGTTGTCCTGTTCAAGTCCCATGGAGTGTTTAAACACTGATCTTCCGCAGGCGTGGCCTTTGGCGCCCACGCTGGGCTTGGGCGGATGCACCTGCCGGCTGCACCGGTGGCACCCGTCGCCGTTCCACCAGCGCAGGCGAGGCCCGTCGTGAGACTGCGCCGGTGGGCTCTTCCCGCCGGGGGGGAGTGAGATGGGAGTTGAAGCAGTGGTTCAAGAATTCTTCAGCAATGGTGGGCCGCTGAAGACTCCCAAGAAAAATGAAGTCTGGGGTTTAAGCAGTGGGATTGGCAGTGTGGCAATGACTACACAAAAGCATACAAATTAAACTCATATAATGCTTGTCGTCAAATTTTATAAAGACAATTACATACTGTAACTAAAACGTGTATCAGGAAAAACAGGCTTCTCTTCGTTTTCTCGAATTCTAGCAGTCCATGAAGCCCATTTTGGGGGTCCCAAAGCATGGTTTCGTTGCCGATTTTCCCTGAGACCCATTCATTGGCTCACGGCTTTCTTTGGACTTCTTCCTTGCGGCAGAAGACGGGTCCACCTTTTTCGGGTCCACGCGATGGGCACCGGTCAGTGGCGAACATGGCGAAACCAAGAGAACCATCTAATATGCTTGTTGGTGTGCAAAATGGATTAAGGAGAAAAAGATGAAGGTTTTGTCCAGTTTGCACTTGAGTTGGTTGGTTGATTGTTGGTGCGTGAAGGGCTTAGTTAGGCCCGGCTGGGTCGACTCATGGAGGTGTATTCACTCGAGTGCGATGGATCTGGTTCGGGGCACAGGCTGCGACTGATCGGGGTGCTTTGCCTGACCGGGAGGGTCCGGGCTGCGTATCCTGGCGGGCGCCGGTGGCGCCGGTGGCGTTCATCCGTCATCTCCCAGCCATCTCCGCCCAGGTTCCGCCTGATCCACGACAAGTGGGCATGGACGAACAAGTCTACTTGCTGGTTTTGGACCTGCAAAAGGCGATCGAACTGCGGTCGTCGGTCTGCGGCCGTCGTTTCGGGAGACCTGGCGCCGTTTTGCGCCGTTTGCAGCGAAGATGTTTCGGAACACGGCGGACAGGAGGGTCAGATTCACGAGGTATTTTATTGACTTAGTAATTTGGAAATCACATGTAAACTTAGTAGAGAGAAAAAGGAACCGTCAGGACCCAGGCCCCATCCTGCCGTTCCCCATCTAAAATCCAGGTGCCCATGGGTGTTTGCTGTATTGCGTGACTTTGGGGGTATATTTATTTTTGTTCCCCCAAAAATGACAAACAACGGGCATCTCTTGCGATATCCCGAGACCTCATGTGCACGCGCAAGATGTGGCCGATGGGTCCTCCGTTGGGTCGTTCAACCATGTTCGCCCGACCAATCACCAGTCCACCATTTGCCGCAAACGACCGACACCAGATTGGTCAACCAAGGTATCCTGGTGCCATGACCCACAGCCATGTGTCAGTTTACTTTTTGGGGGTTTTTGAATGTTCCTTGTCCTGGCACCTTTCAATTGTGCTTGATGTTCGTTTCACTTTTGTTCACCCTCTCCTGGATTGTTTCTCCTGCAAACTTCAGCAACAACTGTACAGCGACACCGTTAACGACACAACCCCGTCAGTGTCCTTTTTTTTTTTCCGGTCATGTTGAATCAATGTTCATGTTGCTGCAATGAAGATAAGGTCGCCGATAGGAGAGTCCCCACTGCGCTGGTGGAAGGTAGATGAAAACAGTGTTTTTTCTCAGTCAGTGGCTCCCATGTGGCGGTTTTGACTCGCATTTCTAAGAAGGCCCACAGCCCGCGAGACTTTGTTCTGTCAGCTACTGATTAATTGAACAGAGTTCTTCTTTGTCCTCTTGATTGATCAAGCTGCGGGCCTTTGGAGTACAAGTAGTATTCTTCCTGGTGGTGTTTTTGAGGTTGGCCCAGGCCACATGGGAAGCTGAGCCAAGAATGTCTCGTGGGACAAGCACAGTTGGTGGTGGACTCATCACCTTCAACCCTAGTATTGGAGATTGGGGGTGTTCCCATTTCCGGCAACAGTCGGGTTTCGCAAGCAAATCACTGGAACAAGGCCTCTAGCAGCCATTATCATCCACTGGGCCCAGGGTGTCTAGGATACACCCAACCCTACGTACCACCACCTTAAATCGCATCGTCGACCACGCTCAGGGCTACTCTGGAAGTTCCGAGAAGGCGTTTTTCAACGTGAGTGTCTAGATGTGGGCTGATGTGGGTGGTGTATATATGATATGATCAGTGATATGGTGTCCTCAGAATAGATGGAATGAATTGCGGTGTAATTTGCTTCTACAGTATATTTTGTCTTGGGAAACCACTTATAAGTTTGGGTTGCTTCTTTCTTTTCGACTGCTTCAGCTTGTCACCTTGCTTGGGAACTCATGCATTCAGTTTCAGTTTCGTCTCCAGAGAATTCCTGAGACTCGTGATCACCATCACCTGGCCCGCCGCAGGGCGACGAGCGTGAAAACGCACTGCTGGACCCTTGGCGTGAATGAGCTCTGTGACGAACGTGGCGGCGGCCTCCAGCGTTGATCTCTTCCAATCTCTACCTCTTCCGCCGGGGTACGGGAAAAACCATGGAGGCCAACCCGTAGCTGGGTGAAAGGACATGTAGGCCACAAACATACAGTCGCAGGTTGCTTTGTTGTTCTTTTTAAGTGGGTTTAGGTTGCCTGCAAACGCAACTCCATGGATTTCAATGGCTTTTCATGTTCCTGAAGTGCTCTCAAACCCTGGACGCTGAGGAACTGTCGAAGCGACGCGAGTCGTTGCAGGACTTGGCAGCTTGTGCGGAAAAGGAGAAGCAGGGAATGATGAAGAGAATGGGAGGGACACTCCCTGACACGAATCAAGCTGAGCAGAAACCCTCATGGGATAGTAGAGGCAAACATAAGCAATTCGTTTTCCAGGGGCTTCTGAGATCACTTTCTGATACTTTCTGGGTGAATTCCAAGCATCCCTTCTGAGCCCATTGGATTTGATCCATCATGCATATCTATATATAGGATTCTATAGGGCTTTTGGCAAACTTTCCCAATGAACGGGAGAAAACTCATCATCAGCAGCTGCATGTCGATTTCAGGTGGCGAGAGACGCCTCTGTCGATTTCAGCAGAAAGGGCCGTGGCAATCAGAATCGATTCAGGTCTTTTCAGCTGTGGAAGACCCCGTAACCGTATGGACAATCCATATTGACACCCTCAAGCGTCGAGTCGACCTTTCTCCAAGCACGATCTGGCTCGTATAGGGGACCGACATCTTTTCGGGTAGCTTCCTTTGCCTTCATCAGAACATATATACTGTAGTAAGACGTCTTAGACACTCCCGCTCACTAACATGGAAGTGGAACACCCTTTGCCTTTGTTCGTAAAGGAAAGTCGTCTTCCTTTTGGGACCACATGACATCCACGTAACCATGTGATGTGAACGCTCCGTGACGACCCTGAGGCGCCGATCTTGTGGCACTCCTGGGGTTCCGTCGTGGCACTGATACAGGAGATTGTGTCGATCTATCCGCACCTCGTACCTTGGAGATGGATCGAAGACCGGATCGACGACCTGTCTCGAAGGGATCTACTTCGGAAGGTACGGTACAACTGGATGTTTGGAAAGACTCCGTCCTCACCGTACCTCAATAAAAAGAGTCTCCGTCCACATCACAGCCATACCGTGGGTGGCAGATCCAGGCGTCGGTGGGTTGGTGGGTCGGTTCAACGGAACGCCCACCGGAATGGGCTTGTCTGAATGGGCTTGTCTGACGTGGTATAAACATCCCAAGCAAGACGTGTTCAAACAAAAAACACTTGGCTATAACGATGGATCTATAAGATTCTAGTCGACTTAAACGGATTTTAGACTACAACACCAGGTCACCCGAACTCTTTTTTAAGGAAGAAACGGGTCTCACTGCCGCTTGGGCAGCTTTTCATGGTTGGCTTTCCTCTTCATGGTTCGGGGGAGTTGGCCAGGTCTGTGGTCTCCACTGCGAACGTTGGGTTGACAAATTGCATCCATTGTGTTGAATCAAAACAGGAGTTGTTCAGGGAGAGAAGAATACCAACAAACAACATCAAACAAAAAAGTAGACATGATATGAAATGCTTGTTAACAACATCGACAAAGACACAAACCAGCAACCACATATGCAATTCATATGCACACATATTATTAATGACATTGTTTGGCAGCAGTTTGGCAGAACATACATTATGACAAAGCAAAACTTACGTCTAAAAAAGCACACACAATATTTACAACAAGTGTACAGTAAGAACAACGAGCCAAATAGGAAACACACAACACTAAGTAAGGCCCCGGAGCCCCTACTAGCGTCCTTGCTCCCATTAGCAATGCCAGGAGCCCCTCGTAGCGTCCGATCGCTCCTAGTAAGCACTGGACAGGACTAAACCTATGATTCGACATAGGGCTGGTGCGGGTTCGGAGGGAGCGACCTTCAGCTGTCGCCCCTGGCGACCTCCAGTTCTTCCCCATGAAAGAAGGGGAGGCCCGTTCGCTCGGGCGAGCTCGCTCCGGTTGGATGCGCGACGACCGCCCCGTGTGTCCAGGCCAACTCGGCCGTGGCTGGGTGGCACATGGCGCCGGAGGGGCGGGGGGGTCTTAGGGGGACACTATCATCATCCACTGTTAGAGGGAATGGGATGGAATGAGATATATGGTATACCATGGTATACCCAACATTGAAATAGAGAGACCCCCTGGCACACACACACACATCAAGTATAGACTTGCTCTAGTACTTGCTCTAGACTCTAGTACTTCCTTCTGAAAGATGGCGATGGTTTGGGGCTTTCCATGGAAAGCCCTTGGATTTGTTTGGTGGACCATCAAATGTTTGGACCATCTCGATACGAGAGGGGTTGTTGTCTCCACTGGGATGGAAGCCAAAACATCCGTTTTTCTGCCTTCAGTTCCTGAAGGAGATCTGGCAGAATCGGTTCCAGGTTCCATATGGGTGTGCATTAAAATACGGAGACCTCCTAACGACCCCCTGGAAGAAGGAAATTTACCAAAGCCAATTGGTTGGGGTGACACGACTTGCGAACGTCCGAACGAGCGCCTCCCACAACCGGCCCCTTACTGCGTATTACGATGAGTACTGGGGGAGGTGTGAAGTATCCACCTCGTGATGATCGTGTTTGCCTGTACAATGTGCTACCCATTGGTTGGGAGTCTCCCCAGTCGAATACACACCGATATGGTCCCTTCAACAGGAGGCCTCCTGCCATTCAGCAAGGGCGGTGCTGGAGCAGCCAACTCTTATTCATTCGGCTGTTCTTCACCCAGGTGATGCTTGGTCAAGACCGCATATTCTTCATATGTCTACTATATAAACAGTATATATACTAATACATACATATACATATATAGTATACATATACACATACACTATTCATGTAGGCCCTCTCACTGATAACACATCCTGGAAGATCCTTTTCGGGAATTACATGGGATTACTTTACTTTGAGTGATCACCACCATGACAGTTCAATCATTTGTTGCCATGCCATGGTGGGGAGCATGTTGCCATGGTCGAGGTTTTGTGGTTCTCGATTTTGCTTGCGGGTGGTCCTCGGGCTTCGGGTTAGTGTCGGGGAGTTCCCCCAGGGTCTACAGTTGGCATCCAAAAGTGCGGCCCTGTGACCACCTGCTACGCAAAATGCGATACGCACAGGTAGTCTAGTGTTGTGTTGTGGCTGTGTTTGAGGATTGATCACTATAGCCGCGGATAGGGTGCTCAAGATCGGAAGATGTGGAAGGGACAGGTACCCACAAACTAGAACCCAGAATAGAAGCCAGAAAGAGCTTCTATCATGTCATAGGGTGCTCAAGACATTCGTGAAGCTTTTGTTTTCCGACTCGCGTCGTTTGTCGGACACACAAAGGACCTGTCCACAAGGCGGAAACGTGTTTGATGGCACCAAGGCCCCCGGCAGGAAGTACCAGCTCAAATTCCTTCCATTTGCGCTGTGGGTTGTGAATCTGTACACGTGCAGCGGTTCTTTTTGCCTTGACCTCAGCAAGCCATCCAAATCTCCTGGTGGAGGCAAAGGTTCTATGCAGAGTAGAACCCATTCATAGACTTCCCCCCACGTACTTCTCCAACTTGGTGCCCTGGGCTTCACACCAACCAAACCAGACTTAGTAGAAAGCCTGGCTCAAGCCAAGGTGAGTGCGCGGGCGGGTGATCGCGAAAAAGCACATTCCGTTTGCATTGGGGACTGAGTGTTGGGCGCGCGTTTCCAGAAAGGTGGCCGCGGCCGCTAAATGAATTCCAACCAGCCTAACAATTTAAAGTTTCACGGCTGCCCACCAGAGCGTGGCTAAATTTGAGGTCGCGCTGCAGCCCTCACGTCTCAGGCCGTGGCGGCGCAGCTCGAGGACGATCGTAACTGACCACCACAAAGACCACAACAAGACAAACAACAACCTCAGCAACCTGCAAATGGTGCTGAGAACCACACACAACACAATGCACCACTCTGGCAGGGCCAAAAGAAGAAGAACCACATTTAAAAAAACAACAACGAATTTGGGGAAACGTCGTGATGACGGGCAGTGGCTTTATTGTTGTCATTCTTTCACCCCAAATACCAGTGAGATGGCCTACATATAAGTATATATATATATATTCTATATATATATATATATATGCAGATGTCATAGAGCGCTTGCTTGTACAGCTGTGTTGCCCCCGTCAGGGTCCAATGCCAACTTACACTTCAAAAATGACTCGGAACCTGAGCGCTGAGGCTCAACCACAACTCACGGCCAACGCGTCGAACCGCGTTTGCAACTCCTTGGCGTTGCTCGGCAAACAACCTCACGGAGACTTTCCTCTGAGGATTTTTTGGATTTGGCTTGGTTCGGGCGTGCAAGGCGTCGTTTACTAAGCATCACCGGTGATGGGATATACCAAAGATAGGAAGGCTGAATACTTGGAACATTTCGTTTTGTTCACCCTGCTTTGCCCAGCCTGAATCACAGAATCACAGGCCTTGGGGCTTGGGGCCCTTAGAGCAACGAATTTGCCTGCGCTTGCCTTTGCTGATTCATTTGCCGCGCAGTTGAAGTTGAGAGAACGGTCCAAACATGACAGGGCTTGAATTTGGATTCAACTCAGCCCGGCCAAAGTTGAAGACAAACCCAACGTCACCAAATGCTCATTCATCACCTTACACAGTCTTCACCACATCTCACAACCATCTGCTCCTGCCTGTGGTGTGATCTTGACCTCAAAACTCAAAACCCAGAAACCCGGCAACAATTTTTCGGTTGAGATTGTGTGCTGCTGTGGCTGTTTTAACATTAGGAAAAAGGGTTCGCTTCTTGTTGGTTTTGTTTTCCACCAATCGGATGGAACGCTGCGCGTGCAGGGTCCTTCAGCCACCGGAAAAGCACCGCAGCGGTCGTCGGTGGAGCCCGAACGAGGTTGATGCAGTGTTTGGCATCACATCCTGAAACACGTCCCTTGTTCTTGAGCCTTGGATGGGCTGAGCATCCGGCTGAGCAGGTGTTGGATCTCAAAAAATTCAGCCTTACCTTGTTCTTTGTATAAGTATATAATTTGTTTTTGGTTGAATTTATAGTTCAGCCTTCCATGGAACATTTACAAAATGGTTGACTTGGTAAGTCATCAAACATGTGATCAACTCATGAGTGTACACCCTGAAAATTCGAAGACTAAACAAGCAAACTTATGGTCAGGTGATGTTTTTTCAAGTTGAAGTCTCCAAATAGTTGACCGATTTCCAAAGCGCATTTTTTTTTGGGGGGGAGGGCCTTCATCCTTGATTTTTTGTCCCCTTGGGTGACTGAAAATTCTTTGGAAAGTCACCCTCCAAGTTCCTGAGGAAAGCACAGATCCCACTGCTGCTTTATCCGTTTCTGAACACGGTCAGCGCAGACAGGCGGGTTTTCTGGGACGACGGGAGATGAATGTATTTTGAGTTTGAGGATATTTACGAAAGGCAGCCTTCGTAGAAGGCGCCAGCTGAGTTGTGTTTGGCGAACGAAGTGAGTAAGTAGGGGGTTGGGTGGGGGTGGACCGAGAAAGCACTACGTAAACTCGAAATTAGGTGGTGTTTAGGGGTGCGCGGAAGCAAGGTTTTGGAGGTTGTGTTGGAGGTGATTTTTCGTGATTTTTGAGCGGCTGGTGATTAAGAAATGCACTTTTTTCATTTGCGTCATCTGCGTGGTAAGGTGTAGTTTTACCGAGGCCGATGTGTTGTAGCCTCGCGCAGCTCTGAATGCATAACCTCTTACACACATATAAGTTCAAAGCACTAATGACTAACGAGACTTCAAATCCGTGGATTGCTGCACGTTTCTCCAGGTTATCTAGCGGTTGACGGAAAGGGAAATTAAAGTTATATACCTGGCAATTGAATTGTAGCGGTTGACGGAAAGGGAAATTGACGCGCTAGGCATGGCAGCTGAATTGTAGCTGCCCTGGGTCCGTATAGATGCTATTTCTCTATACCTCCTTCACACCTATATAAGTTCAAATCACGAGTGAGACTTCAAAGTTGTGGATTGCTGCACGTTTCTAAAGGTTGTCGAGCGGTTGACGGAAAGGGAACTTGAAGTGCTATACCTGGTAACTGAATTGGAGCTACCCTGGGTACGTAGATTGCTGCACGTTTGTCACGGTAGCGCTTGACGGAAAGGGAAATTGAAGTGCTATACCTGGCAACCGCCTTGTAGCCGCCCTGGGTCCGTGCGCGCGCGCGCGCCTAATTCTAGCGCAGACCAGGAGCCAGCAAGGCGCAGGAGCCAGCAAGGCGCGAGCGCGCGCGGACCCAGGTAGGACCCAGGGTAGCTACCGCTGCACTTTTACTATCTCTCTTCACAACGTGCTCGTGGACAAAAAACGCTGGCTTTTGTTTTGCAGCTTCTCAGGCTTGAGGTGGAGCAGCGCTGAGGTCAACGGTTATTTTTGTTGAATCAACTTTCATAGGCTTCAGAGGAGAGATGGCACTGGCGCTCCAAAATGTCTTAGACAGATGGGGTCTATATAAAAAACCACCTTAATGTAGAATCTTGACTATTATCCTCCCCATTTGGATTATGGATTAAACAGCCTCTTCGGGCTGGGATTTGATCAATCAAGTGTCAACCACCACCGGAAGCTTGTGCCATCCCAAGATCCGTAACTAGGACCCGTAACCTGGGGTAGTTATAGGATAGTCGACCAGTCGGGTCCTTCAACTTCTTGCGCCATCTACTCTCAATCCATTCGATTGAGTGCTAAACTGTGGACCGATGTGCCATACCTTGCGGCCTGTTCGCACGTGTCACATCGATCTCGTGGAACATCTACAGGAAACATCAGTGTTCACCCATAGTTTTGCAGGTGAACACCATGGTTTCCTGTGGAATTAATTTTTCCCCAAAACCCATTCATTTGAACCGTCCGACCGTCCGGGTGTGTAAGAACACCCGGGACTCGACTCTGATGTATCTCGACACGCCGAAACCGGACGGACCGGCAGGCCCTTCGAATACTTGCGGCTCACCTCCTTGGGGGTCATCGGTGCGTTGGTGAAGGTCGACGATCCGGAGGCCGGATGGACCGGACGGTCCGGAACGGCCCGTGACACGGAAGCGCGAAGAGGTCTTGGGAGACCTACCAGGATCAACTGGAGCATAGAACAGCTGAGAATGAGCAGCTGCGCCCCTCAGAGAATTGAAGAACGCTGGACCATGTCCTCACTGACATCATCAATCCACTATACCTGGGGTGTCTTTCCTTCTTTGCCATGATTTGCTCTGCCGTGAGTGTTCGAATGTGGTCCATAAAAACTATAATAATGTATATATATAATATTATATATAGTATAATTAAATTATATAAGATATATATATATATATTTATTATGTATATTATATATATATATGTCATAATTTCTGAGGCACTGCACATCCGGAAAGCACTATCTTCCACACATCAACCTTCTTCCAACTCCAAAGACATCAAAAGACCGTATTTGGCTCACTGAAGTCAAGGAAGTTCCTTTTGGGGTCACCATGGGTCACCAATGTTTAAACAAAACAGGGGACCGTGAGTCCTAAAGTTGGAGTTCAAATTAAACTCCCCCACACTCTTTTTTTGAAATCGTCCTTGACTCTCAGGGTGCTCGCCCCCTCCGGTCCCTTCGCCCTTCGCATCCGTTTTCACCCCTTCCGGTCGTCGTCGAAGCATGCACCGGGCGAACTCCCGCGGGGGTCAGGAAGGGCTGTGGAAGCCCCGTTTTGTGTTTTTTGAAGCTTGGAAAGCCATTCCTGACCCCGTGGGAAGCCCAAGCACATGACAACATGACTGTTGCAACCTATGTCTGTGGGAAGCCAACCACATGCCAACATGGACCATCGAACAAGGATATCCTGCATGACTGCATGGAAATGGATCATGCGCCCCACCGGTGCACAGATGTTCTCCCTTTTGCACGAGTGAACGCTCGGTGTGGACATTCACAAGTGTATGGTGCATGATGATTGTGAATTGTTTGACAATTATATGAGTACTGCGTGGGTGTGAATTAAAATTAGGGAGACCTCCCAGTTCAACCCCCCTAAGAAGAAGGAACATCGAGCAGTCTACCCATTGGGTCTCCCCATATGACATGCACAGCCGGTCGAACCATCCAGCGGGGCCGCAGGTCATTTCGTTCCTCTTGCAGACCGAGATCATTCCCTTGTGTTTGAGGACCGATCGATCATCGCGACGAGAAGGGGGGAGGGGGAGGCTCAAGTGACTCAGGTGGTTTCTAAATGCTAAATAAACTTTGGTGTTTACAAAACCAAAACTCAAGACATACTTGCCCGGTGGTTGGCTAGCTTTGACTTATAAATACTTCCCAAGCACTCCATGGGACTGCCATATATGCCGAGCAGTTGGGGTGGTTGACTGAGGGGTCAATGGATCGGCATATATGGCAGTCCCATGGAGTGTCTGGGATGGTTACACGGTTTGGTGTGATAAAACTTGCTTTTCTCCACGCATGTTCTGGAGAACATCCTGTCATCGCCTTCCTTCATCGCCTTTCTCAAGCAATTGGCTTTCCCGCCCAAGGCTTCTCCAACTCAGTTGGCAAGAAAACAAAGTGACTAAAGTTGCACAAAACTGGTTGACAATTGAACCTGAAGATGGACAAATTGAAGGACGATTTTCCTTGAATGGACCCAGTGGTTTTTCAGGTTCCATGGCTAATTCTTGCAGGGTGTAACAACAAAGACGATCGACCCTGCAAATAGACGTTGTGATCAAGAGGTAAAGGGACGTCACATTCATGACCGTCTTGTGATGACCATGGGCTGATCCTTGAGATCCATTCTGAAACCCACAGCTGACTGCGACCTTGCCGGGAGACACCAACGCCCCGCGATCCAGCGCCTCTATGGGTCGCTTCTGACGGGAAACGCCAGGATCATGGAGAACGGCAGCGAGCTCTCCAAGACGGTGGCGACCTTCATCGCCACGACCTCGGAGTTCGAGGGGGGCGGAGACTGTCACGGTCGACCGTGGTGTTGAGGCTCTACCGGAGTCACCTTCTCAGGAGACCGTGGCCTTCCAGTAAGTAAACCTGTAACAGTCGGGTTTCACAAGCAAATCACTTTTTTTAGAGAAAGGCCTGCAACTGAACCATCATCCACTGTTACAGAGTTTCAGAAAAACAAGAGGATATACATACCACACACACCGTCGCGCACAGATCCGTGTCGCAGCTAGACATGCCCTTCCCCTTAGAGGGGGGTACTTGAGGAGAGAATGCACATTGACATAGAGAATGTATGTAACAAAAACATGCACGAAGCCACACATGTCGAGTGTGTGAATTACATCAAGGATCTCTGAAGGAGTCAAGACGAATTCCTAATTCACGGTTCAAGTTGAAGGCTTGACGGGCAAATTTTATTGCGCAGGCCCTTTTCGAACACGCTGGTACAAATGATGTTTTGCGGAAAAGGAAAGATCCGAAGGACCCATGTCCGAAATGCAAGCGGCATCCAGTTTTGGATTAAATGGCACTCGTACATTTAAAGGATACGGCTGACCTGGCAATGGGGCGTACTCAGTCAAGACCTGTTTGCGGGCTAGATCAGTAGCTGCGGGTCCCGCCGGTCACCGCGCGGGACGCCAACTGATCCCGGTGAAACTCCGGTGGAAGCCAAGTACCATGGTTGATGCCCCAGTTTTTTTTATACCTCGGGTAAAGTGGTTGGCCAGTAGAGCTTTCGAGATATGAAAACGATCCGCACGGGTTCATTGTGTGTGTGTCTGGTGCCACAAGCTACGAACTTCTGGCTTGAGAATAGCGACCTCTTCAGAATCGAAAGCATACGGCCAAGCATGGTGTTGATCCTTATGCTTAACCCAGATAGGCAAACAGCGCCCGGCATACAAAGTGAAATGAACCGTCAGTTCATACCATGTGATCCCAAAATCCGACTTGAGAAGTGGGAGGTCTGGATGACGCCACTCTAACTTTTGGAAAAAAGCCCAAGCACATCTCGCAATTTGTCCCCCTGCCGGGCACGCGTGGGCCACTACGGAGAGCAAATCACCAGAGAAGTACCAAAAAGGAGCATCTGGGGCCCAGTCAAGCAAAGTTTGCATCACAATTTTTATGTTCATTTTCTTCTGCTTGATTCTTATCACGTTCAAGTTCAAAATTACCATATCTAATCTACCAGGAGCATCCAATGGGTGTCCAATGGACTACACTAAACTACTTAGGGATCTCCATTGGACACCCAGTGGATGCTCATATTACAAATAATTACACATGACATATATTGTATGATGCCCTCGGAGCCAAGAAGAATAAGTTAGTTAGTTCGTTTTTGGACGGGGGGGACCCGAGGGACATCCCAGGACATCCGGTCCAAGCTCTTCCTGCCCACCATTCATTAGACCAATACAGTACAAGCACTTGTGGTGTTAAGTCGTCTGGTCTTGTAGAAAGTCGTCTGGATGTTGCGTTTCCATTGGGGTTAGATGCAAGATGGCAATATAACTGGAAGAGCATTAGGTCAACAACATTGTTTGGATGCTGCGTGTCCATGCAGGTTAGAGGGAAGGTGACCAAAAAGTGATTTGAAGATAATCGACGTGGGTAGTGCCAGGTATAGTATACAGTACCAGGTATAGTACCAGGTATAATATACGTAGTAACAGGTATAGTATAAGCAAGTCTTCGTGCGCGACTAAGTTCCGCGGCGCCCAGGTGCAGAAGCTTTTGCTGGACGACCAGGGCCTGTACCTCGCAGAGAATCGTTGGACGATCGCCTCGCGATTGACGGCGGTTTTTGGTCAGGGAGGATGACGTGCGCGTGCGAGCGGAGGGCTGTTTGGTTCGGGGGGGGGGTAATGTAGACGTGTTTTTTTCAATAATCCACCCCATATGAATGAGGTTTTCAGTTCAACTTCGGGGGCTTATTGATCAAGAGTCTACATGAGCAACGTGGATTCACTTATATAGACTCCCTGGAACTAACATAGTGGTTACGTGGATGGCATGACCCCCGATTTCGGAGGACCATGTTCCGAAGACCGATCAGACCATTTTCCACCAGGACCTTCCAAGAGGCGTCTATATCCCAGACACTCCATGTATGCCATATATGCCTACATAGGGGTGGGTTTGGGGGTCAATGTAGGCATATATGGCAGCCATTGGCAGCTCATGTGTCGTGTTTGGGTATAAGTCTTGCCTGTTAGGCTCTGTCCTTTAAGACTTTTCTTTTCAATTGGTAAATGCCGTCGAAGCTGTTTGCTTAAGATAACCTTGTAGTCTTAGCCGGGCTGCCCTTGCTGGATTGCCCAGCTTGCAAACAGTCGGGGAACTCAGAGAGGAGTTTTGTTTTGTTTGGAAGTGGTTCCGAAACATGATTGCAGAATCAAAACTGTGCTCGCAAAATTGAAGTGATCCAAGTGGCGAGCCTGAATGGCTTTTGCAATCCAGGCTCAACATTCTTATTCTTCCAACTTTTGAACGCAACATTCTTTTCATGTCAAACTCGGCTGTCAAAAGCTTCTAGCGCCATGTGGCCGACATTGTTTTCCAATGTTTCGGCTTCCCTACTTGGCATGTCAAAGGATCCCAGCGATTCTTTTTGATGTCTTTCCGACCTTGTTGGGGCTGCAGAAAGCATTCCTTCTCTACCATCATCCTCTTGCCCGGTAACTTCCCACATGTTAGGTCACTCCAGTTTTCAATTTTTTCATCTTCCATAACCTTCGTGGCTCCACACGATCAATTCAAAAGACCATAGACCGAGCTGAGCAATTATGATCTTCGGCTCTAACTCCTAGTTAAAGCAAAAAAAGGAGCTGAGATAATCTGCCGTTTTTTCGAGTGCAGTGGCAGTGGATGAGAAGAAGAGTGTGACGCAGTCAAGCCCGGCCACTATGACGTTTGTTTTCCGCTGGCGCCTGTCAGAGGTACATGATCCCGTGTGCGCAGGCATGCGCGTTGGCCTGTGGAAGACGTCACGGGGCTGTACCACAAATACATAGTTATGTGTAGATGATTTTATGCAATGTTTATACAGTTGTATGTTATATATTTTGCTAAGTGTATTATATATCAGCTGTTGTTTTACATATGATATATATATATATGTACAGTCTATCAGCAACGACTGTGCAACGGCAGCGTGCAGTCGCAGACGATATGGCCATTTGTCAAGCTTTTCGGTGGAAGTGCCACTGTTTGCCCATGTCCACTGCGCGTTTCTGGAATCAAAACCTCGAGTGTTGGCAGCCGGGGCAATAGACTCTTCCAAGATTGTATCCCCTGTTCCCCATAAACGGGCAAAAGGCTACTTGCCTGAACCTGCGCCCCCTGAAAGCGTATATACACCAGTCTACAAAGCCACAGCATGGGGACTTTTTTGCGGTTTGTTTGGTGGAGTTTCTGTGGGAGACCCAGCGGTCATACACCATTTTGGATCATGGTCAGTTATGTATGGGTGCCACAAAACACACAATATCCTACTTGGCCCTGAGCCGGAGTGGACCTGTAGATGTTTGACGTAGCTTGCGTTTTTTGCGCTCAAGCAGCGTCATTGCTGTAGGGTCCGGAGGCGCGGGCTCCCAATACCATGAGTCTAGCTAGAGCCAACTGACATTGTCAGAGCGTTTGCTCTGTGGGAATGCGGATCGGGGTTTTGCAAACTGTTAAACGGAGCTTTGAAATACACCTGCAACGCAGCTTAGAGTCTTAGAGGTCACAGTGTCGAGGCAGATGCCCACCGCAAGACACTTTTGGGAAACCAAAACGAAGAGACCCGTAACGGGTCCTTTCATTTCCTTGCCTCCAAGCAGACTAGAATCTAAACCATGGCTGCCGTCACTTCGCCCAGGTTCTGACTGACCGCCACGGCAGAATGGCGTGGCTGAAGCAGCCCGTGCCTGTTTGTGGGAGGTTGGCTGGATTTGGAAGTCGCCGGTGGAGATTGCGTGTGAATGCTGATGGCCCATATCGTATGCTGCGTTGAATGCCAGAAGATTCTTTCCTAAATACCTTGGCCCTTGCAGTGTCAAGTTAACCAGCCTCGGTTCAGCGAACCTCTTCATCCTGTCATGCCGGTGCCCTTTGCGCCTGCCGCATCGCTGGTGGCTAGTTGGATGGCAAGCCCAGGAGCTGACGCGAAAGGGAACCGCTTGGTGACCCAGGCCTCTAATTTTCTTTTTGGTCCACAGTGTGTCAGATAGGAGGTCGGCCCCCCGAGCGCAAACTTCAATGGTTGTAGCTTTCTGGGGTCACAGGGCATGATTCTTTCTGGGTTCATTTTTACATTTTAGAATAGGTTGCTGTCGTTCATGAACAGCGCAAGCATCTCATCTTGGTGCTGAGCTTCTTGTTCCGAGACGAGTGATGATCTGCCAGCTGCCCCGTGGTAGCACACATGGCTTCACTAAGATTACAAAACAACCTTTTTCCCGAAAGCATTGCGAAGGGTTCTTCCGGAAAATCCTTTGAACACTTACACTTCGACACTTACACTTACACACACACACTGGAAGAGCGAAAGCATCCAAGTGCGAAGTATGCCAGTGTCAAAGTATGCAAGTGTAAGTATGCAAGCATGATATGCAAGGGTGAGTATGCAAGCACGCAATGAGTATACAAGCATGCAATGAGTAGGCAAGTGTGAGTATGGAAAACTAGCACGGGAGATGTCCTAATGAAAAAACATTTCCCCACTTTATAAATTCTCTCT